TTCGAGATTACAAGCATCGGCCAGGGTTCGAGATTACAAGCATCAGCCAGGGTTTGAAATGATAGAACGTCTGCACCTGCCTTTTCCTTAAATGGAAACATTGTCTTAGAGACACCAATTGAAATCAAGCAAAGGTTATGGTAGGCTATGCACCATGTAATTTGATTTCGGAAGGAAATGAGTTGGAGCAGCTGTTTTGTAGGTGTCAGCACACCAAGTTCACATTCAAGGTATCGTAATCTGTATCAGATATAAAGTTCAGGCACAAAATGTCTTTTCCTGATGACCAGTTTGATATATATTATTGTTGTAGAGTGTGAGGTATCTCAGCTGCTTGAGGGAACCTGATACTGTATATAAGTTTGCTTGAGGGAACCTGATACTGTATATAAGCTTGCTTGAGGGAACCTAGCTGATACCCTATATAAGTTTGCTTGAGGCAACCTGATACTGTATATAAGTTTGCTTGAGGGACCCTGATACTGTATATAAGTTTGCTTGAGGGACCCTGATACTGTATATAAGTTTGCTTGAGGGACCCTGATACTGTATATAAGTTTGCTTGAGGGACCCTGATACTGTATATAAGTTTGCTTGAGGGACCCTGATACTGTATATAAGTTTGCTTGAGGCACCCTGATACTGTATATACGTTTGCTTGAGGGAACCTGATACTGTATATAAGCTTGCTTGAGGGAACCTAGCTGATACCCTATATAAGTTTGCTTGAGGTAACCTGATACTGTATATAAGTTTGCTTGAACGAACCTGATACTGTATATAAGTTTGGAAATCAACAACTGCCAGCATCATTTCGTGTTTCCAAGAGTGGGTTTTTTTTGGGGGGGGGGGGGGGTTATTTGGGGAATTTTTTGGGAATGTTGGGTCAAAAACTTGATGAGTATCTTGCCTAGATATCTGGTGTTCTTTTCAGCCAGTAGAATGTCGTTCTATAGTCAATGGAGAAAGATTGCACTCTAAGTCAAATTCAGATTACTTTTCACATCCCTCCATGTGTATACTTTCATTGTTTATGTTTACTTGTGAAGCAGTATTTACTTTAGTTTCAATCCAAATTCAACAGATTTTGAAAAGTCCTTGAGGAGTAAATACTACACAGTAAATAGATCTAGGCTATCAATGACAACAAATATTCTGCTGTACACTTCTGAAGGAATTCTGAACATATACACTGTATATATATATTCATCAAATGTGTGTATAGATAAAGACACTTCGTTTATTTTGATGACGTGTTTGTAAACATGTTTCAATTTCAATTTAGTTAAGATGATAAGGGGGGCTTTCACAATTTACTGGGTGTGCAACACAAACAAGATCCTTCACCATTGATTCGGAGGCAGACTATAGCTATCTAAGGCAGGTTTAAAGGCCTTACTAAACACACTCCACATGCCCGATCAATTCAAGGGCTATAGAACTCATTTAAAGCTCTATTCGATGGACAAATTGAATTTTCGTCTTCCTTATGTCCATTCTGCCATGAAATATTTATAGTACAAAAGGGGAGTTCAAGGTTTACTGCTAGCCCCTTCCCAGGTCAAGTGTCCCAAACAAATCTTATTGAAGAATATCTTTTGATGTGATATGATTTTGAAAGATAGAAATCAGAAAATGGGACAAAGTTTTGATGAGATTTGTTAAACTTCCAATGAACCACAGTATCACAAAACAACAATATGTATGCTAGCCGGGAGTTTGAAAGCCCCGTCTGTTAGAGATGAAAGATGTCCTTGCGTTGACGTTTCATCAAATCAATCGTAAATGGCATTCCCGACAGTATTCTACAAACTCACAAACAATGACTGTCACTATAGTTTGACCTTATGGAACGTAAGTATCTATTTGAAAACAAGACCAGGAAACTCATTACCATATCTTACTATTACATCATAGATCTATGATGATGAGGAGTAATAGTACCACCTTACTATTACACCATGGTTCTGTGATGATGAGGAGTAAAAGTACCACCTTAATATTACCTCATGGTTCCGTGACGATGAGGAGTAAAAGTACCACCTTAATATTACCTCATGGTTCCGTGACGATGAGGAGTAAAAGTACCACCTTTGCTTTACCGATGACGTCAACAGAAATTGGAATGAAAGGACTCTAACGATTGTCTAACTCATGGCTGCCAGTATCCAATCTCCTGAATGTGCTTGTTTTTATTTGAAATTGATTGCCAATAGTTTATTTTGGTCACGACTAGTTATCAAATTTGAATCATGTTTCGAGTGAATGGCTGTTTAATAATGGTACACACACACTGGTTTCTTTGTTATCAGTGACCATTGAGAATTGAATTGCCATTGTTGTCAAAATTGTTCGTCCTGTCCCATTTCTTTGGTTTGGTCTCATAACTCTTATCGCAGGTAAGGTAAGAGGTACAAAAGAATCAATCATGAACTGACCCCATATAGGTAACAGATCACCTGGCCACACCTGTAATCAGGGTACCTGTCTCACCTGGTCACAGGTGACGTTACAAACTAGCCCTCAGTATCTATAGAGGTCTCTCTGAAAGATATTAATCTACAGAAATATTTATCCTAAACATGTAGACTTTATACCAGACAAAAAACATTATTTTTACAATTGTTTGTACATACATTTATACTTGTGTAAAAGGGGAGAGAGAAAAGTGTGCTTCCACCGGGGATCAAACCTGCGATCCCTAGGTTCTTAGTCAAACACTCTACCACTGAGCTAAAGGGAAATTCCCTCTAGCTGGAAGCTAGTAGGCGACCGTATATTCCTGTGTACAGTTAAAATCTTCCACACTTGTAATAACATCATCAGCTGAGGTAAGCTTAAGGCTATATGCTACTTTACTATGAAATTAATTTCCTTTCCAAAAGAGTTCATAACTAAGTAACCTGCAAAGTATCCTAACCAATGTTCAGTTAATTCACCGAAAAACAAATTTGAAATGTAAAAAACTGTTCAAGGGAGATAACTCTAAAAACAAATAAGAAATACTATGCCAGGGCTTAAACTTTCATCTGTAACATCTGTGTGACAAGGAGATGGGCTTATTACTGAACAATGTTTTGTTCGCCGTGTTTATAACTCTCCACTAGAATGAATAGTGCGTTCATTTTGAGGCTGTATCTGATGTCACGCGTACCAGGTAAGATGAAAGATTGATATGATATCAGCTTCATCTACAACATGACACATACCACAGGTAACATCATGTGCAAATAAATCACGCAGGTATGTGTACCTGAAAAATGTTGGAATGTGTAAATATACCCAGGGAAAAAAAACCACTACTCTTTTCTTCCCTTGAAAGTACCGACATCAGGAAAAAGCTGTCACGGATTTTTTCGGTATCAACTTTAGGTGTACAGAAACCTAACACACATCATACCCAACACAGACAGCTTGAAGAGTCCAAATGTAGAAATGTCCACATGGGAAAATTTCTAATTTTACAATTATTTTATGATTTAAATAATAAAGATAGAGGCCATATGTCCTTATCTTCAGGTAAAACTCATAAAATTCTGATGGTACAAAAGGTTGTTAGGGTAAAAGTCCTCACACCATAGAATTCGGTCGCCATGACTCCCCTGAGGCGCACTGACCCAACATAATATACAGGTAGGTATTACGGGACCCAGGTAGGTGTTACGAGACCCCAGTAGCGGGCACCAAATTCATCAATATTACACCTGTATGTCAACATTCCTCAAATTCCCTGGTTTGAGAACTAGATGGATGGATGGACTTCCTAGTGACATTTGACACACATTTTTAACTTCAAATAAAAACATTTGGCTCAAATAGCTGGCTTTTAAGCTCATGCTGATAATTTTTAAGTCATTTTTGCATTTTCTGAAAGACAACGTCTTACAAATATCTTAATAACAAATATTGACTATTTTAATTGCATTCAAGAATATCATAAAGCTATGTTTTTATAAACATTATGGTTAATAAAAAGAATTCTGCAGCTGGCATAGCTCAAAGAGAGACAAATTCCACCCCAAACGCCATAAACATGCATGTCAGTTATTTTTAAGATGCAAAATATAACTGAGATTACAACTGATTAAATTCACGTCCTCATCAAAGCTTAGCCTCCAAACATCGTGACATAAAATTTTGAAAATATCAACAATTTTTAAGGATAAGATTTTTTTCACATGTTTCAAATTTGAGATGGTTACTTTCACTTCTCAACCTTTGCTGATATGCTGTCGACTTTAAAGAATTTGACTTGGATAATTAAAGATTTCAGATAAAAATTATCTCATCACATTTCAGTGAATCTATGAAGAAATAATTAAATAAGATAGGAAGAGATAACGTATGCATGTTCTGTTCTGAGGTTTAAAATGGGACAAATATTTCTTGAAAACACATCGGAATAATCATGTCAAAACTAGCATGTTGATTTTGAACTCTTCACTGAACATCAAACATCTATCATTTATCAACAAAAACCGGTCCAACTATATACCGAAGGACACCACAGTGACACATACTCGCTCCGTGTCTACATATTTTGTACAATTTCATGCTTATAACTTGCACTAGACATATTGAATTCATGAATAATATATAACAGACATAAATTGAAAGGTACAGACTGCCTTTTGACAGGGAAGTTGTAGTTGCAAACCATGCACAGCATTTAGATAATGTAACTGTGTCCTTGAACAAGAAATATAACCCCAAATGTACCAATCTACCTAGCTGTATTCATGAGTACCATCATTTTGGGAAGTAAACCTGCAATGGACTGGAATACTAACAAGAGGGAAATTAGCATCTAGGCTCTGATAGACTGGCATGTAGAAATAAGTTTCTTTGATATGGCTCTACAGAATGCAAATCGGATTATTTCTCATGATAGAGAAGAAATAACACAATCAATTGGAGAGTCTATGTGTGTGTCAAGGAGTTTAAGTGGCCCTGTCATTGTTAGGTACATATATAAACACTGAGATAAAAACTATACTTACAATTTAAGTGTTACATCCCTAGGCAAAAACTGCTATCTGTGAAATATAAAGTGTCATACATTGTATTCATAAACAACCAAAGCTTCATTAATCGCAAACTCTTTTATATTTTCTTCCGGGAATATTTACACGCCCAGTTAACGGTTTTAAGAGTCAAGGTCAATGACAGCTAATATTGATTACAATGAGATTTATTCAAATCAGTCTTCAAATATTCATTAATACATGTATGTCTGTACACGATTTTAAACAATCAAACCTTCTTATTCATGACGTACAGCAAAGACAGCATTTGTAACCTACCATTCATCCGATTAACTGATACGAAATCACGTCACAATAACACGCCTATAATAAAGTTTCTCGGTTATAGGAGAATCATGATCTTTTATCATTATATTTTACTTTGAAATCAGTAATTGCATTACAACTTGGAGTTATATTTCTTGGAGTTTTTAAATTCATTTTTCAAAATTAAACGGGTTTTGTAAGTATTTTTTAAACACGTTAAGATTTCACTACAAGGTTTCCCCCCCATGAAAAATATGAGAAGTTGATAAGAATGCATTTAAAAAAAATCGATTTTGTAAATATTTTGTGAATGATTGACAGTTAATTTGACGCATCTTATTGATTAGGATCTCAATGACTGAAATGAGCTCATGAATATTCAACATATACAAAAAGAGCCACTTGATATTCAACAAATTCAGTATTTACAATGAGAAACACTTAAGTTAATGTACGCTGATACATGATAACTTAACTCTGATTAAGAACTTTCTATATATTACTTTTTTATTGAGTCATTGTTTATAACAGACACATTAAGTATTCAGCATTATCTCCCTTAGATCTAGTTTCATGCATATGTAAAGACTAATGAGTGTGACCTTGACTTCGAAATGAAGGTCATGATGGTCTTGAGCATGTCACATACAGAAATGAAATCAATTAATGATAAATTCAATTTCAACTTAAGGATCCCTGTCCCACTGCAATCTGGGCTTTTTTGTTTATACAGTAACTTCCCCTTAATTTCAATTTAGATATTTACTGTAGCACAGTTGGAGCAGGACACTTCCGTACCTAGGTAGTTCAGTCGTTTGGAGTGGAAGCGTAACAATATGAGGTCCAGAGTTTGACTATCGGTCTGGCCATTGAATTTTTTTTTATGACAGAACACCATTTTATTTATTTTACTTTTATGATTTTTTTCATAAAGGTTTAGCAAGGTATGGGTTTCTTTTTAAAACTGATTTATCAAAGCTAGATTCATGCTGTAAAAAACAAGGTTCCAATTTGTAGTTACAGTTTTTGGGAGTGGTACATGGATCCTTAAACTACAAATTGAAAATAACATACAATAACACAATGACATCATTAATTACATAGAGGTCATTGGAAAATGTATACATATCATTGACCAAAACCTGCATGAAGTTTCACCCAGTCAATCCCCTGCCTATAGATCTAAATATCATTCACAAATGACTTTCACATGACAGAGACACAGAAATTTCTACTTCTTCCATTAACTCTTTCCATTTCATCTTTCAGCACTCTAGCTAGTGTTTATCTTCTCAAGGATCCCCAGAAAACACATGTTTATATTCTTATCATGTCCAAACTTTTGGGGATCCTTTTATAAATGTGACATTGCTATCTCCAGTAGAGGAGATGCCTTATCAGACCAGTGTTTGTAGTTTAACCCCTTAATCTGTTACAACCTGTTGATGAGGCAGATCTATCGGTGTAATCAGAGCCCCCTGACTGTGTAAACATTTGTTCTCAATTTCCCCCTACACAGATAGAGGCAGTGGCTGAATAATCTCTCAACAATATTACAGTAGAAAGAGGAAATGCTGAAGGTCTGGTTCCCTTTAAGATATTTTAGAACAAGTTGATATGCTGCAAATTTATCATTAATGATCCATAAGTTCCAAAAAATGTGCAACTTAAGTTTTTTAATTTCTTTGCATTATCCTTTCCTTTTTTTGCATTGAAACAGGTGTTTTTTTTATCAAATAGTTCAAAAAATTGTTTTTCATTTCATTCTTAGAGGTAAATTGTAGTCTTAAAAAAACAAAGCAATTAGGATGTTACAATTATGAATAAGCTTATGTTGTCCTTCAGGCAGGTGAGCTTAATATGTTTCTTTTAGAAAGTGAAATCATTTCATTGCAAAATTTATTTTCAAAGTCCAATCATCCAATTTGATTCACAGTTATATATATTGTAACATTACACAAATGTTCATATCTCCAATGAAAATCTAATTTTTCAATAGACAGAATTCAGTCACATGTATCAAACTTTAATTCTGCTATTCTCCTCACAATGTGGTGGAATTGTCGATATCTCAAACAGTCGTAAATATCACTGACTCTTAAAACATTAATGTTCAAATCTGAAGTGAGGCTTACTATATATAATGATGTCATAGATATTATACCCGCTGATATTTGGTTATATCTTGCAACTAACTCACTAAGAACATTTTCACTGAGAAAATCAATTACTTCTATACAAAGAAATTACCACATAACAACTTTCGTAAATATATATATATATATATACAAAATGGTGATATTTACCATAATTAGTTAAAACAACTTGTATGCACACACAAAACAGTGGTATTTACCGTAACAAAAAAAACATATGTTAACAACCTGTATACATACACAACTTACTAACAGCCGTGAAATAGACATGAAATAATAGTACACAGATTCAAAGTTCACTGGAGATATTACTCTGGAACATGGCCGAGTGCAGGGGGTTAGATAAGTATGACTCACAAACAAAATAATACAGAAATTACCCAAAAATATTACAGAGATGAGCCACAAAGATAATGACCTCTAAAGGGCAAAGGATGCCACAGAGGTCCAATTACCATAGTAACGCATGTGTTACTAGGAATTAAGAGAGATATTTATGACATCACATCTATCTCAAATGTACACAAATTGGCAATGTGTACTTGTTGATAAGCCACAATTCAGTTGTTAGGTCATAAACAAGAGAGAGAAGTATTTTGATCATCCCAGAAGTAACACATAATGAGGGCATTGTCTCTGAAACTCGGCAAACAAAACATTAACTTGATGTACTGTATGTAGTGCAGTTCACATACCAAATTACCTCCAATGATAACACAGTGTTTTACACGAACCTGTGTTTTCGTCAATGAGAATGATTGACATTGTGCTACTTTCTAACACTAAAGGATACTTGAGTCCATCACAGCTATACTTCCTCCCAAACTAGTGGCCATTTGTACAGCTGGGTAGACTTCTATGATAATGAGACTGTTATTTACAAACATTAAAAGTATTAATTCTATAGTACAGGTTTGAACTCTGCACTAAACATCAAGAACAAAAGACATCAAATTCACAAACACTTAATCAGAATCAGAATATTCTATCTTTGAAATAAATCACACCCTCTCAGACCTTTTACTCCTCCCTTTTCTTCCCTGACATCACAACACAACCATTTCAGCATTTGATTGATTTCTTAAGATATCCTGAAATCATGTTTTACTCATTATTTTCCAGTATAAAGATAGCATTTCAAAACCAGATGTTTTAAATAAGTTGTCACACAGACTGCAACTGACGTCCTGTCAATCAAAATGTAATTTTTTAAATTTCTGTAAAGTGTTGAGTGACTTAAATGTTCTTAACCAGACATTTAAAATAAACTGCCCACAGGCTGCAATCGACATCCTGTCCAACACAAGATAATTTGTTTAATTTCTTCAAAGTGTTAAGTGACTTCGATAATTAAAATGAACCAATTATAAGGTCTAGTCTTTGCGTCTGGGCACAGAAGTCCTTTAGTGCACCACCTACCAAGGTTTGAATGTGACATACTATTTCGCTATCTTATCAGTTAAATATATCTAGGCCCAGAATTTTGTGGAAAGTTAAAAAACCATACCACCACATTTCGTTACGTAATCAGAGGGTTGGGCACTCTAGCATTTATTTCAGAAACACCATAAAAGATATTTTCTGAAAAGCGCCTAAGACCAAGTTTTTTTTAAGCTTTGAAAGCTTATAATTCAAATTTCAAATATATGTGTGTATATATATATATATATATGAAAATTCTATGTAGACATATTAAGGTTTCACAAATGTCTTCTTTAGACAGCGATTCTTAACCAAACAAGCTAGACTGGCCCCCGTCTCTAGAATATTATATAGGTATTAAATTAATAAAAAAAAAAAAAACTCTAATAATTTTAATCACTTCTGATGTCTGATCCAAGTTCTAAACTAGGGGGAGATAAGCTAGTAGTAAAATTCAATTGAGAAATTCTTCATAAAAATTTAGGGGCTGGTAGCCAGTCTACATACAGACAAGCATACTTCTACAGTTCTAGAAGAAGAAAGCTGTGCATGTTTTAAAGAGAAAAAATCTAAATAAATTTGTCTTACTGTAGTATTTGAAATTGTACTGTCTTGTCACCATGTTCAATACAAATAAATCTTCTTGTATCAGGTATCATATGTTTTACTTCCCAGCATATACACATAAACAGCTTTGTGGACTACAGTATTACATCAACAAATTCTGACTCCATGCAGATACTTCATAGACACTGTTTTCTTCTAAAACATTTCAAAACATTTTCCCTGAATGAGGAATTTGTTACAGAAAAAATAGCATTTCGCATATCAACACAAGGTTTTTTATTCTTAGTTTGATGAACATGTTTACTTTTCCATCATCCCTGACCCTGATGCGTGAAATATGTAAGATATACCCACACAACAGGTGTTTATAACGCCACTTTCAATATTGTTCCAAGATTTTATCAGATCTGTTATTTAGTTTTTCTAATGAAAGAGAGCTTGTAGAATCTCCAAGATTACATACAAACCAGGAAATGGACTACGATATCATCTGTAACCTTTGGGGAGAAAAATCCAGAAAAAAAACAAACACCTCTTGAGAAAAATCTCTGGTACTGTGTAAGGCCATGACAGTCAAAGTGTTGGTAACAAATTACAGAAACAGAGTAAGCAGCCCAGATATTACTTCGTCTTTTAGAAATTGTTACCTTTACAATTGTTTATGGGGAAATCTTTCATATTGAAGCCCAGTTTGCTCCTGTTTTCCTCTGTAGTTTTTTCTCTTATATAGAAATGGCTTTGTCAATGTGTTCAAAGCAGTGGACATCAATTACAAATCTATGCTTCCACTCAGGCATTGGTGGAAATGGGACTATTAACTGCAAAGTCTACCCAATCTTTTGTTTTTTTGAATTTTCACATTGTTCTTTATAAAACTGAGTGAAAAAATAGTCTAAAAACTCACAGGCAATGGGCCCCAAATTTATAATAAGGACCAATCCTGAAATCCTTTACAATCAGGAAACCTGTGCTTGTTACATAATTAGTATGTAATTAGTATGTATACTGTATAAAATATCCATGTAACAATGTTTTGTCCACTTTAGACAGGTACAACTGTATACATGTGGTTATGGGATGCAATTACTTTGTTGGCGATTCAAATCTCCAAAACAGAAAAAATCTGTGCAAGTGTCACGTACAGGAGAAATACAATGGCCAGACCAAGGTTTGAACTCCGGACCTTCTGAACTCCAGACGGCCGCTCTACCAATTGAGCTACTTGGTCGCCGACAATCGACCCAATCCAGTTCTGCTACACAAGAATCTTGTTTTAAAGGGGACAGAAAGGCTCTGGCAGTTTCGTTTCCAGGGGGTTTCCTGAAGCCCATGAAATCCCTTGGAGTCTGGAACTGCTCAAGTACAGATTGAAAAGTATATACCCGGTAGCATGATTACATGAACACAATTCTTATAATCCTTACTCCAAAGTATAAGAACTTACCCTTTCCTTGATGTAGGCCTGCTTTAATCGCCATACAGATCAACCATTAAGAAACAGACTTACAATCAATGAAGTGTGTAACTTGTTGATCTAACAAACACCTGTCTACATACCTTCAGCATACCTTGACTAACGAGAAAGAATCTCCAGCCAGGTATTATGCGGGTTACAGGTATTGATTACAAATTAAGGCAGCAAGAAGCTAGTGTTTGATTGACGGGACAAAATACCTGCCAAGGTAATCAAATATTAATCAACCTGTTTGGCCTTTAGAGCTGGTATGATTTTGTGGGTCACTGAATATATTTTATTTGAGCAATGCAAAGTGATTAATGAAATATAACTATTTATATAACTAATTATTTTAAATGGTCTGGAAAACTTTAGGGTCAGCTAAAACTAATAAGTAGCTGTTAGAAGAAAATGGGAGTTATAAGAAGGGGTCAGAAGAAAATGAATTATAGAATATGAGTCTGTTTGAAAACAAGAGGATCAGAAAAGATGGTGGGGAAAGGGGGGTTGTACAGGACCATGGACTTTGGGTTAAAGGATGGGAGATATGTGCAATTGGAAATTGAAAGGATGGGCATTAGTGGGGAAGGGGGGATTAAGGTGAAGTGGTTGGTTATCTATATAGGAGAGGATGTGGTTGAGGGTTGGAAATGTTGAGATAAAGGATCACGAGAGGGAACAAACCAAGTGATGGAATGAATCAATATGGACAATTGGGATAGACATGGGACCTGAAATATATAGTCTCATTCGAATTCCATGACAGATGCTGAAGAGATCTATCAATATTTTAAATCTCTCTAAGAAAGATTTTCCGAAAAGAATGATAATTGAAGATTAGTTACAGATGAAAATTAACTCTATAAAATCTGTCTTGTCCCATTATTCTGCTGTATACTTACTAGAATACAGTGTCTTATACACAAGTATACTTACCCTCTTGGCAAACACCAGCTAAAATACACATCCCTCCACTGTAGGCCTGACCACACAATAGACCAAGTGTAACTATTAGACATCTGGTAATTCACTTTTTCCTTTGGTTTTCACACTGGCCAATAAATTATAAAGGACCCTGTTCCCACCAGGAAATACTTTCATTATGTGTATACGTATGTACTGCAGTCTGAGTAAGACCCTAAACCCACCACTACTATCAGATTTCCTCAATCACTGTGAAGTGAGTGATTGAAATCATATATTATACTCCCCAGGAAGACAAATCGTGCTGGTTTGAAAAATCACTGGTTTTGACATATCAGTTTCTAAATAAGTACAAGTGTAAACTTTCCTGACCAAGTAACAAATCATGTTTACTAAAACTAACCAACCGTTATATAGCCGTCCATTCTGACATATAAGTAAAGGTCAGTTCACGAAATGGACACGTGTAAAACTGTAACTCTATCTAGAATCTTAATTCAGAGAGATTCAATTTAAATACTGGAGTTTCCATTTCAAATATTTGAGATTTGAGTCTAAAATACTTTCATTTAGTGAGACCTAGTCAAGATTTGGACTCACCCTGACGCAGATCTAGGTGAAATCCTACCTTTGAAACAGAAACAATAAACCCCAAAATGTTTTAATCATATAAGAACGCACATGACTATTGAAAAAAAAAGTTATGCAAAAAATACGACATGCGTATATATAAAATACACAACACAATAGCCACAAGATAAATCAACAATAAAATATGTTTATGAATCAGTGTCGGTATATATAACTACCAATCTACTCTATGTAGATCAGTTATATAGCTGTGATTTATAGACATTTAATATTAAACCCAATGCAGCATCAATTTGAGTCAAAAATAATTTTCCCAGCTGGTGTACATATATATGTAAGATAATATAAACCCTGATGAATATTTATGTACATACCTTGCATAAATGTAAATGCATCAATATTGATTTATTCCAGTAGAATTGAAACAGAAATTCTGTTTAAAATGATGTAAATCCCGAGGTTGATTTTAATGTTGAGGAATATTTCAGGATGAAATGCAAGAGTACATATATAGCTATATGTTGTTATAAACCCAAGTCTTCATTCACTAACATCATCACCAGTGACCCTGTGGGATGATATATACACCCTGAGAGGAGTACTCTACTGGTGTCACGTCCATTGCAATGAAATCAACAAGTACATGAAACTGACAAGCGTAACCATCCCCAACTATGACATCACACTCAGTATTACCCCAGGCCCCCATACACACAGCTGTCACGACCCTTCACCATAACAAAGAAACGTTATATACCCCTATCATAGCGCAAGGTAAACAAATGCACTTTTACTGCTTCAGTTGTTATTGTCGAGAGCAAAAGATAGCAGATCAGGCAGTTGTTGGATTACATATTTATGTCAAGAGTCTTAATTCATTTTAAATCAGATTAGGGAAAGTGTTATTTATTTTTATACAAATGACATGATCAGAGATATTTCTATTGCTACAAATTAAAAAGGGAAAATGTTTATTCATATCCGATGAGGATAAACAAGCTACAGGTGGTTTTCCATAAACAGTAATATTTTCTCACCTGTAACAGATAGTCTATTACAAATTAACCTATTTCTCACCTGCAGAAGATCTTCAAGTTCAACAGTCTTGGAACGGAACCTCTTTATACTTTCCAGTTATCAAATAAAAAACTGTGGTTTCACGAAGCAGTGTTGCTAACACATCCTAAATCCACAAGGAATACAAACAATTTGAAATCCAGGTAAAGTACAAATTTAAAGGATTTCATCTATTATCCTATATGAAACAAACATTTCCTTTGGACTTGCTGGAGTCAATCTTCCTGATGGAAACTAAAACACTGAAAGTTGGACACAAAGGATCTATTAAAATGTCACATTCATCTCAGCAATACTCCCTGTTGATTACAACAAAAACAGGAACAAGTAAATAATCCTTCAATCTGAAACCTATCTTACTGTACTCAATACAAGATAGGAGGGAAGGAATCAAATGAAACACTGCTCTGAGGCTGAGAAGCTGCTACGCTGAAGTTACACAGCCACTGTGTTGAGAGATGAGGTGGCTTCAATGTGTTTAGCACTGTATCATCAGCCCCCAAGTTTCAGTCTCAGCAGCTATGAACCATACCTACATTACAAGCCTATACATGTTAGCCTTCCGCTTACAGTTAACTCATTGTGTTCTGTTCAACATTCTTAACATTTTACAGAATTAAGGAAAAAAATTATTATGACGAAGAAGCGTCTTTAACTTATCAATACATGCATTTTTTTAAAATATTTTACCAAATATCAATTTTCTCACTATTTTTTTTAAAGACGTGTGGTAAATGCCTTAAAATGCTTACCCAACAGTACCTTATTTTTCCTTTGTCAAAAACCTGTTCTACTGGGGTTTTGTTTAGAGGTATGTTTCTTTTAATACATAAATATAAAATAAACCCAAAATAAAAATATTTAAGATTTAAATAAACATTTCCCACATGTTTTTACATTTTCACAAAGGTTTATACAACATCGTCAACTTAAAACTCACTGTAGAAAATATTTTGCGCCAATATAAATCGGTAAATAACATTTTTGGTTGGAGCAGGAGAACAAATTATAGCAGGTAGTTTTAAAACACAATAAACAATTCTTTTGCAGCCGAGCTGTAGCTTTTTAACAAACGCCTACTATGAATCTATATAATATCAGGCACATGCACAACAAACAACCACTATGCCCGTCACAAACAAACACATCAAACAATGGGGCTTTATAACAGAAGTGTCTGCTCCGACAATGATATATACATAAATATTAAACACCACAATAGAGCAATGAATAAAACAAATAAACATTGACAGACAAACAGGGACAAAGGAGAGGAAACATATCATTTCTGATGCCAAGAACAGATCAAAAGTTAAGAGAAATAAAACAAACAATTTGGCAGACAAGCTATTGTGTGTAGACTGACCCTACCATATTTTACTGGCTTTAAACACTAATGAGTTCTAGAGGCCAATTTACTTCAGATTTCTTTTTTATGTTTGTTACTGCAGGTGACAATTGCTGTTTGGGACAAATTGCTTTGTAACTCTTTATTACAAATTTAATCAATAATACGGATTCAAAAATCAGTAAACGAGTTTAAGATTTTTATCTAGAATACCCATTCGATGCCCCTGGGCTTATAAGACGAAATATATGTCGGCTTATATCGAGGAGATCCAATAATTGATGACCGATAATGCTTTATATCCATTTGAGTGATTACGAATTCCAAAGCGAGTTGGTTACGTAAACTGAAGTATTTACCTACAAGAATGGAAATAAAGAGTTGAACATTCTCTTTCTCCCATAACCTGGAAATAAAATTGCATAAAGTTACTTCACTTCACACTTTGAAATTATCCAAAAATAAATTGAGGACTGAAAGTGATGAATCCTGTAGCCGTTATTGGAGAAATGTATCTATTTCCATGGTTTTTAGTGGTTTATTTACATGCAATTAATTCTATCCATTTGCAGTTGTACCTGTTATACAGTAGAACACTCATCAGTTTATATACTTATACACGTGTAATCATTTCAGGAGTATAATTATTTCCAGACAAACTTACGCCTCCTTGGATCCCAGACGTTTTGATTTGTCTATACAGATGAACCTTGTTACTTCGGGCACTACATCTCAAACGAAAAATCTGGCAGATATATTTTTTGGAATTAATGAAGTATAATTATTGCTTAACATGGGAACTGGGAACAATTTTCAAGATTGCAGATACATCTTTAGAAATTATTAAAGCATAATAATTCTTATACATGAATATACATGGGAAACTGGTTTCAAACTTGGAGATTTTAATAATGGAGAGTCCAAGCCAATTTGAACGAAACTACATGTAAGTGATCATTAATTGTTGATATATTTTACCTGCCCTGTCGGCAGACTTCCGTTTTTTTCACTTTCAGTTTTCACATTTAAAATTAGCAGAATTCACTTCTTTTTGCTTTTTAATTGCTTTATTTCAATGAATTCACTTTATAGAACATCTTCCACTATGTCAACTTCCACTATTATTTTGTCAAATAAGGACCATTTATACATGTCAACTGACCAGATTTCACATAAGATATTTCCACTGATAATTTTGTTTTCTGGTTTTTACATTCAAAATCATTGAAGTTTAGCACCCGGCAAAGACTAAGGCAAACTTTAGAAATATTTCCCTCGGGTTGATATTTCTGTCGTCATCACACAGGAATGATTGATTATTTTATGAAACAAAATTGATTACCTTACCTGGGTTATACGTTGCATACAGTGATGACGTTGCATACAGTGATGACGTTGCATACAGTGATGACGTTGCATACAGTGATGACGTTGCATACAGTGATGACGTTGCATACAGTGATGACGTTGCATACAGTGATGACGTTGCATACAGTGATGACGTTGCATACAGTGATGACGTTGCATACAGTGATGACGTTGCATACAGTGATGACGTTGCATACAGTGATGACGTTGCATACAGTGATGACGTTGCATACAGTGATGACGTGATGGTGAGCACGGTTTCAGAACAATAGCCTGTGTGAGCTGTCTTACCTAGGTAGGTAAAGACAGGTTTATCTTTTACCTAGCAAAAATGGGAATGCACCTGTTTAGGTGTGGGAGAAAGTCCAACGCAGCACCAAGAGAAACACATTTCTGCTGTCTCACGTGACAACAACACTAGCTGTTTTGACTAGCAAAGATATATTTGGAGTTCTAATGATGTAAAGTCACAGTAAGACATTAAGTTCTTCTTGTTTGGATTCACAAAATGTTATTCCCACCATGATCAGATATTACAATGTCAATATCTGAGCCATGACCTGTATTTGTGGGTTCAGTGTTCAGATTTAACTAGTTGCAGCTCACTTAAGTCATGTGATACAGCCAAAAAGTCAAATGTTAACACTCCCAAATTATAAACATCATGGGGAAAATGAGATTTGTGATTAATCTATCATTGGAACAAGAAAATGGACTTAAGCACAAAAACTGAGTTTGATCATGAGAACTGTTTCGTGAATACAAGCTCTGATGTGGGACTTTCAGGGGTAATTGACTGGTATGATCATTGTGAGTGCTATTCAGAAAGATTCAAATTTTGCTGTTTAATTTCTCTCTT